TTTCTTTGTTAGGTCGTCTGATTGCCTGAATTTGTGTACATGTCACTGTTGTTCTGCATCTCTTCGACAATTTCAATCTTTAACTAGTAAAATAGTAAAGAATGTGAAATTCCATGTTTTAATTTTTAGCCTCAAACTCAGATCCTCCTGTCTTTTCATACAGAGTGCTAGAATTAAAGACGTGCCACCAACCTGACTAGCCTAATTTTTATAGATAATTAATTAGATTACATTAAGTTATTGGCTGTTGAGTAGATTGTGAAACTGTATCGAATATGAGCAAATGACTATCATTGGTTTTGGAATAAAGGGGCTACTGATACTATAAAGCCCTAACATGTTAGTGAACATGCTTGGGTGTTAGATGTTATATTTGACACTATAATGCATATAATACCTACCACCTCTAACCTCAACTAAAGTTACACAGCTAATAGAGTTGCCAAACTCTAATGGAGAGAATACACTGTGCTGACAGTAAACTGGATGATGGCTTTCAAATGTAGTCATTGCACTTTCTAGGGTGTGTCAGTGGCCATCATAAAGACATAAGTCTGAGAATCCGTAAAGCTTAGATCCTGGAGTGTTGTGCAGTGACGCTGCCTCAGCAAGATAGAGAGGTCCACAGAGAGATCCAGGACAGGCACCAGAACTGCACAGAACAAAAAAGAGTTTTCTACTTCTGTATCTTGAGCCCTGCCCTCAGCAATTTCTTAGTCATTTTGGGAAAGAAAGTTTTCCAACTAATGTAGCATGTGCCTCTAACACTTTGGTGGGTAGTAATAATAGCAAGTGTGCTCATTAAGAACCAAAAAGTGATTATATTCTACTTTAAAGGTTAAAAACGACAACGAACACCAGCCATGAAAGATCCAAGTCGCACCAGTACTAGCCCAAGCATCATCAATGAAGATGTGATTATTAACGGTCATTCTCATGAAGATGATAATCCATTTGCAGAATACATGTGGATGGAAAACGAAGAGGAATTCAACAGACAAGTTAGTTTTGTGTACAAACATGTTCCTTTTGTAGCTTCATATCTTTCAAATATGTTCTTGGTCCTGGAGAGGCGGGGGAAAGGGGGTGGGGGGAGAGAGAGAGAGAGAGAGAGAGAGAGAGAGAGAGAGAGAGAGAGAGAGAGAATGAGAATGAGAATATGAGTGAGTGTGTGAAGTCCTTTATATGCAGGGTAAGGGTTTATGTGCTTCCACTCCTATTTTATTTGGCTGCCAGTTGCTGCCAGGCTTAACTGCCCATTGAAATTACTTGGACAGCTTATTTCAGGGTCCCACCCTAGACAATGATGAAGAAGAATAGGGTGGAGCTTGGGACACGAACAAAGTTCCCAGATAGATCTCTGTATTACAGTGGAAATCCAAGAGAATTTAGGAAACTGGTGTAAACAGACCACAGATGTCCTGATGCAAAATTGATCTGTATTTCACTTGAGAGTCTCAGTCAGCCTGGAAATCCGCTGCTTCTACTACTGCTCTCTAGAGAGCGCTGATACACTAGTAAAAGTCATCTTTTATTCCCATTCTACTGTCTGTTCCGGTTTGGTTTTGGGAATCAGTGGTTAGCCTAATTTCCCTGTATCCGGTGGTGGCCATTGCAGTGTAAACAGTTCAGTCTCATTTCAGTAAGGATCAGTTGGGGTCGGGGAGGAGGACTGTTGGGGGAGAGAAGGGTTGTTTTGTTGTTTGTTTTTAAGGCAAGGTATTTCACCCCATAACCCTGGCTGCCCTCAAAGTCATACACCTATGCCTCCCAAGTGCTGGTATTAAAGGCATGAACCATCGGGCCTGGCTTTAAGATTTATTTTTACTTTTTTGATTGTGAGGCTAGCCATTAATAGCCATGTGGGTGCAGAGAGTGGGCCAGAAGAGGGTGCTGGATCCCCTAGTGCTGGAGTTTGTGAGCTACCCAACACGGATATTGGGAATGAGTCCTCGACAAGAATAGCAAGTGCTCTTTACCACTGAGTCCTTTCTTCCAGCCTCCCCACCTTTTTATTGGGTTCAAGGGGAAAGGTTCTCCGTGTAGCCTTTCCTCTCGTGGAACTTGCTCTGGCTGGCCTTGAACTCATAGAGATCCACTTGCCTCTCAAGTGCAATGAGTATGTGTGTGCGCGCGCCCGCGCCACCACCTACTTGTTTTCTGGGGCTGGGGGGTTTTGTTTGTTTTTTAAGGATTTATTATGTATGCTGTGTTCTGCCTGCTTATATCCCTGCAGGCCAGAAGAGGGCACCAGATCATTATAGAGGGTTGTGAGCCACCATGTAGTTGCTAAGAATTGAATTCAGGACCTTTGGAAGAGCAACCCAATGCTCTTAACCTCTGAGCCATCTCTCCAGCCCCCTTTGCTACTATTTTAAATCTCTACTTCCTAGAGATTTTCCTGTAGTCTTTATGCAGGTTGGATTAGGGCCTTGGTATTTTTAAGGCTTCATGAATAATTCTGATCAATATTCTCAAAGAGATCACTCCTTTATTTTTCATTTTTATCTTTCGGGGTTTTTGTTTTGTTTTGTTTTTTAAGATGGGATTTCTCTGTCTTTCTGGCTGTCCTGGAACTCGTAGACTAGGGTGGCCTGCAACTCACAGAGATTTGCCTGCCTCTGCCTCCCAAGTGCTGGAACTAAAGGTGTGTGCCGCCGCCACCTGGCTCTGTTCTTTACTTTTTCCTTGCTATTTTTTTTTTTTTTTTTTTTTTTTTTTTTTTTTTTTTTTTTTGCTAGGTGGTGTGGATGGGGGTGTGGAAGGGTGTTGGTTTTTTTTTTGAGGGGGGGGTTGAGACAGGGTTTCTCTGTAGCTTTGGAGCCTGTCCTGGACTAGCTGTAGACCAGGCTGGCCTCGAACTCACAGAGATCCACCTGCCTCTGCCTCCCAAGTGCTTTGGATCCCAAGTGCGGTGGTGCACCACCACCGCCCGGCCTCCTTGCTATTTTCAGTGGAAAAAACATTCTGTAGAGACAAAGACCTAAAATAACCCTAAACAGATCTTCCTCGGTCTTGAGGTTTTCCTGTAGTACAGAAGCAGGAGAGAGAAAGTTTCTAAGTTTTTAATTTTAGTGTTGGAGATCAGACCCAAGGTATCATGCATAGTGATGTACTCTACCAATGAGTCACACTTCAAGTGCTGAGATGATAGTTGTAAACCTCAGAGCCAGCCACATCATGATCTGATCTGGTTCTGCTCTGTTCTGTTGAGACAGGGTCTCTCTGTATAGCCTTGGCTGGCCTGTAACTGGCTATGTAGAATAGGCTGGCCTCAAACTCAGGTATCTGCTTGCCTGCCTCCGGAGTGCTGGGATTAAAGGCATATATACCTTGCCCTCATGATATGTTTTCAGATGGCTTAGTTTAAGATATTTTAAGCCTTATTTAGGGATGTCTTACTAGTTATGCTATAATTATCCCTTTATGTTGTGACTCTAGATAGAAGAGGAGTTGTGGGAAGAAGAATTTATTGAACGTTGTTTCCAAGAAATGCTGGAAGAGGAAGAAGAACATGAATGGTTTATTCCAGCTCGAGATCTCCCACAAACTATGGACCAAATCCAAGACCAGTTTAATGACCTTGTTATCAGTGATGGCTCTTCTCTGGAAGATCTTGTGGTAAAAAGTCATTTCTCATCTTTTTAGACCCTACCTCATCTTTCCCATAAGTGGAAAATCCAGCTACACTCTATTTAAGAAGAGTTCCACATCTCTTCCCCTTTGAAAATTTTCCCACTTTTTTTAAGAGTGGAAGTAGAGGCCCCCTAGTCTCATTTATATAGGATAACTCATTGTTGCTTCCAATATTGATGTTGTATTAAACTTAATGTTGCCTTTGGAGTAGTCCAGAAACTTAGAGTATTACCATATGACTTGATTATATCTTGATGGAAAGTTTTGCTCTTTGTTACCTAAATATTTGGTAAAATTTGGAAATTTTAATCTGATAAAATTTCTAAGATCTCTTGATTGGGTTTCTTTCAGATATTTTTACAAGCTCTTGGCAGATAAAGAATGCAAAGCTAGATTCGTATTCTTACTTATCCTCAGTGTTGTCACTGGTGATGTGCTTGCAGTAAAGTTCTCATCGTCACCAAAGTAGAACCTGATGAGTCTTTTACTAAAATTAAGATAAAAGATTTTCTTGTTTCGTGAGGTGGGTGGATGGTTGAAACAGGGTTTTACTCTAGCACAATCCAACCTGAAACGCAATGCTTAGCCCTGACTAGCCTCACACTTAAAGCAGTCCTCATGCCCCAGTCTACCAAGACCTGGAATTATGAGCATGAGCCATCATGCGCCACAAAGATTTGGAAATTACAGTTTTTTTCTGGTTTTTCTGGCCAAGAGAATTGTCTGGAACTTCTCCATTGTTGTCTGTTCACTGTGCATTCATTTACTAAGCTGTTCATCTTAATCACCCAAACTTGAAGAATCAGGGTTTAAGCATCCCAAGGAGATATTTTAGAGTCTTCCTCCCCATCAGGCTTTTGGAAACCATTCTGCAGCTAAAGGACAATACAGAAAGTCTTGAAATTTACATTGTGGTATAATCTTTGTTGCAGTAAATAACAGTCACCCAGCTGAACAGGTGTTTAATCTCAATCTGATCTCAGCATATTTTCTTAGTTGTGTCAAATAATACTGATGCTCTGATGAATAAAGGCTTTGCTAGGCTTAAAATATAACCTAGATTTTGCATAAATATGTGACACAGAAACTGATTTGTTTAACTCACACTATTTGAGATTAATTCATTCTTAGACTTCTCTAGCTGCCAGAAGCTTCTATAGTCAAGGCTTCTGGGTTGTACAATTAAACCATGCTCGCTCTTCTTCCTCTTAAGGGTTTTTATTTGTGTGTATGTAATGCTGAAGATCAAGCCCAGGCCTAGAACATTCTTTAATTAAAATGTAAATTTATTTCCCCTGTGGGAATAGAGACTATTTATCTCAATTTATCTAACTTATTGGTCCAATGTGTTGTATAGTATTATGTTTTGGTCTTAAAATACATGACATTGGAATTCAATTAAAAAAAAAAAAAAAAGAGCCTATCTGCATGTCTACAGTTACCCCTGGAATCTCCTGGTTTCTTTTTTATCAACTCCCAACTCAAATGTAGAGAATTTCCAGCTCTTTTTCCTTTACATTGACAGGTATGCTTAGGAAAGGAGAAGTGAGGAACAGAATAATGCTGGTATGAGTCTCTAGAGTGCTTAGAGAATGTGGCCTACTCTTCGTTGTTTTCTAAGCTGATGTGGAAATGGAGTCTCCAAGAGGCTGATTTGTCCAAGCTTACACAGAAGTTTGGAACAGGCAGAGTTGAGATTTCCAACTCAGGTCTTCTGTGTCCTGTGTAGTTTTCTTTTCCTGTTACATCCAGTATCACCTGTGAGAATTAGAAGGCAGCAGCTGTAGAAAGATAACTCCCAAGTTTTTAGTGACAATCATAAGTAAAATTCACCAACAGCCAACGGTGCCCCAGCAAATCAAACTGTGACCGTGTATTAGTGTTTGGAAGTATTTTCAGAGTATCAAGTACAGTTGACAGAATTCTTTGTTCCATGCTATTCCTTATAGTTTATGTGAAGTTATGTGGGGGATTTTGTTTTGTTTTGTTTTTGGGGGGTTTTTTGTTTGTTTTTGTTTTGTTACACTTAATGTCAGCTCCTACTTTAGAAGTTAATATAATAGGATATAGAGGCCTCATGTGGTTACACACACCTTCAGTCCCAGCACTTGGGAAGCACAGGCTTGTGGATCTCTTGAGTTCAAGGCCAGCCAGGACTACATAGAGACCTATATTTAAAAAAAAAAAAAAAAAGGATATAGAACTTATATCACATTCTTTCTCTGCCATAGGTTTTTGGGGTTAGGTGTAACTGTAGTCCAGTCTTTCTTATTTTTCTGAGGTATTTTTTACATAAGAATCTAGGCTGAATGCTTCTGAGAATCCACAGCCAACTGTAATGAATTTGCTTTTTTTTTTTTCTTTTTCTTTTTTCTTTTCTTATGTACTTATTTTCCAGGTCAAGAGCAATCTGAATCCAAATGCAAAGGAGTTTGTTCCTGGGGTGAAGTACTAACATATTTGAGTAGACGGGCCCTCTTTTGGTGGATGTAGCACAATTTCCACACTGTGGAGGCAGTATTAGAAGACTTCATTGTAAAAGCTCTCGTCACTGTGTTACACTTATGCATTGCCAAAGTTTTTGTTAGTCTTGCATGCTTAATAAAAGTGCTGAGACTGTTACTAAGTAAGAAGCCGTCACAGAGTTACTGAAAGTAGCATTGGCCCCATGGCTGATTGTAAAGACAGCAGAAGAAGAAGCACCAGTCAGCTGTGACAAAGAACCAAATTAAATAACCTCCAACTCTCACCGAATTGTCTGTCTTTGAGGCTAAACTGCTCCCTAAGGATTGATTGACACTTTCTAATGTCTGCACTTTGTAAAAAAATAAGTAAATGAGTAAGTTTAAATTAGGTTCTGAATTGTTAAGCAGATTTCTCAGTTGCATTTGTCCATCGAAAATATCCTTTCTGAAGAAAGTCTGTTAACTAGAAATAGATTATACGAGAATGTCTGGCGGAGGTTGCGGTGGTGGGCAGATAAGAGCCGCCCTGGCTTTTGCCTGGTGCATTATCATGTTAGGAACACTGGGTTCTCCCGGCGTGACCTTGAGGAAACAGGGTTGGAGGGTGCATCTTCTCAGGCTCATTGTGTCATAGCCATACATGTGTGAGGTCGGACACAGGACCAACACCAGCCCATAGTCCAACTGAAGTACTAAAAGTGGTAGCACGAACGGAGTGGTGCTCTTCCTTGTTTGTTAACCATCGTGGTGACTATAGTCTGCAGCACAGTTTTCCTTTTAACAAAGCTAGAACAGTTTTGGCTTCTTAAACTTCATATTTGGGTAGGTTAAGCTGCCATACGTGTTCAGTGTGAATAGTGTTTTAAGTTGAAAATATTGTAAAAAAATTATATTTTTTCAAAAATATTTAAAAAAATAAATAATAGTAGAACTGAGCTGATGCTTGTGTTTATTGGTTCAGACTACAGACTCTTCAGTGTTGGTATTTAGTGTGGCCCGAGCCTCGGGTCACTCTGTGGGTGAGCATGCTCAGAGAGGAGCTGTCAAGGGTCTCTCCAGGAATTGGACGTGCCCAAGACTTCGGTGTCCAAAACCTTAGACAGCCATGGTGTAAAACTAGGGTTGTGCTGGGTGTGTTAGTGGTAGAACCCTTGCTTAGCGTGTGTAACAACGTGGGTGTGTATATATATATATATATATATATATATTTTTTATAGGGCTAAAGACTAAAACAGGCCATGTAGTCTTTTTGGTTTTTCCAGATAGGGTTTCTCTGTGTGGTTTTGGTGCCTGTCCTGGCTCTCACTCTATAGACCAGGCTAGCCTCAAACTCAGAGGTCCACCTGGCTCTCTGCCTCCCAAGTGGTCTTTTTAGTTTTTTCTGAGACACAGTTTCTCTGTGTAGCCTTGGCTGTCCTAGAATTCACTTTATGAAGGCTGGCTTTAATTTTCTTTTTTTCTTTTTTTTTTTCCTTTAATGCTGGCATTTTGAAAATACAGATGTTGTCTTTGTTTATTTGCATATTTAATGTCGATGGATATTTTGTCTGCATGCTGGGAATTGAACTCGAGACCTCTAGAAGAGCAGCCTGGGCTCTTAACCACTAAGCCATCTCTTAAAAAGCCCCAATTTTTTTTTTTTTTTTTTTTTTTTTTTTAAGATTTATTTATTATGTATGCAATGTTCTGTCTGCATGTACCCCTGCCCACCAGAGGAGGGCACCAGATCTCATTATAGATGGTTGTGAGCCACCATTGCCAGGAACTGAACTCAGGAACTCTGGAAGAGCAACCAGTGCTCTTAACCTCTGAGTCATCTCTCCAAACCCCACCCCCCACTTTTTTTTTTTTTTTTTTAATGTGTGTGTGTTTTGCCTGCCGGTGTATCTGTGTATCACTTTCAAGCCTGGTGACCATAGGGGCCAGAAGAGAGCATCAGAGCTCCTGGAACTGGAGTTACAGCCAGTTGTGAGCTGCTTTGTGGGTACCAGGAATTGAACCAGCGTCCTCTGGAAGAGAAGGTGATTGTTGTTTTTTTGTTGGTGGTGGTTTTGTTGTTTCTGTTTTTGAGACAAGGTCTCATTATGTAGCCCTGGTTATCTTGGAGCTCACAGTGTAGACAGGCTGGCTTCAGAAATCTGCTTGCCTCTCTCTGCCAAGTGCTGGGATTAAGTGTGTGCACCACTACATCTGGCAGCAAGCAGGGTCTTTGAACAGCTGGAAAAGACAGTCAGGTTTGACACTTGCTCTTGGGGAGGCCAGAACCCCTTTCTTTGCTGACTGCTCAGAACCACGTGTCCCACTTGGGGCTCGCCTCAGTCTCATGCGCCTCCTCTAACGGCTCACATGACAGGCATAAACACCACTCACAACCCTCATTGGAAAGCTTCTTGTTTGAGGGAGAAAGCATTTGAGATAACCAGAGCCAGGTATCTGCATTTGAGGCAAAATTAGGATTCAGCATTGTCCACACATTTTGAAGCCCTAAAGATAAATGATCACTCCCTTATGGGCTTGTACTCCAGATTTATGGTAAGTGAAGTAATTGAAAATGTTTTTAGGCCGGACAGTGGTGGCACACGCCTTTAATCCCAGCACTCGGGAGGCAGAGCCAGGTGGATCTCTGTGACTTCGAGGCCAGCCTGATCTACAGATCAAGATTCAGAACAGGCACCAAAACTACCCACAGAAACCCTGTCTCAAAAAAAAAAAAAAAAAAAAAAAAAAAAAAAAGAAAATGGTTTTAGTTTTATGACCACTAACATTGAAACAAAAAAACAAAATAGTGTATGTGGAAGGATTTTTCCTGTTTAGTGTCACAACCTTTTCCATGCCAAACGTAATTTAAGTGTAGTATGCACACCTGTAAAATTCCTGCATTTGAGAAGCTGGAGAGATGGCTCAATGGATAAGAGCATTTGGCCTTCTGACAGGAGACCCCAGGTTTGATTCCCAGCACCCACATGGTGGTTCACAACTGTCCATAACTCCAGTTCTGGGGATCCAGTGCTTCTGACCTCTGCAGGCACCAGACAAGTACATGGTATTCAGACATAGGTGTAGGCAAAACACTCATGTACGTAAAATGAAATACCTTACAAAAGTTTTTTTTAATTCTTAACATTTTGAGAGAGGCTATGATAGAAGAATCATGAATTGAGAGGGGGTGAGCTGGTCATGGTGGCTTATGCCAGTACTTTTGAGAGACTGAAAAACTACATATCGCATACAAGAACTCAAAGATACAGGCTGGCAGTGACTGCTTACAGACTCTAGTCGGCCTGGGTGCTGCCTGTGTCTGGTGGGGTTAATATTTCAACTTGGACCCATTGGTGGCCCACGACAGTTGGGAATGTCTGCTCTCTCTATACCGTGGCTAAGGAATTCCACCCAAAATCCACATAGGACTTTTTATCCAGCCTGCTCTCCCCTTGAGGAAATTTGAAACATTACAGGAATGAAAATAATTCAGTTTTACTTTTTGTTGAAACAGGTGTTTGATTATCCACCCCCTACAAGAGCAGTAACACATCCTACCTTTCCTGGTTGGTCTCAGACCTTGGTGCACACAGACCCAGTTTCCGTGGTGTTTGGAGTGTCTTCCAGAACTGGAGGCTGGGTTTTTGACTGTTTAGAAAACCCTCTGAAGACTGGGCAGATAGGAATGTATCTGAAGAAGGCAGTCCTTTTGACCATGCCCATCCCAAAGGGGAAATCATAGCTCTTCAGACTGGCTGACGTGTCACTGTTGGCATGGGCTCCAGCTTTCCACTGTATCAGGCCTCTTTCCTCTGGGCTCCCTGCAAGAGGACAATGGGGTCATTTAGGAGGGTGACAACCCTGTGTTACTTCCCCTTCTTCACACAGCCAGTCCTAAGGCAGACTTCTAGAGTCCACTATGGGTGATTGGCATTGCTAGAATGGAGACCAGGGCAGTTTTGCATGCTAGATAAGCACTCTACCCCTGGATGCCTTACTTGCCAGAGCTCTGAGAAACCCTGAAAATTAATCCTCTGAAAAACTCTTAAAAGATTAATACATGGTAGTGGAGATAATTGCTGAACTATGGACTACTTTTCTATTCATTCATTTGACATGAATCATTAAATATACCTTGACATTACCGAAATTTCAACATGACAAATAACAGTGAACCTTTTGTGCTAAATGTTATGGTATATGCCTCCATTTTCAACACGGCTTAAAAGAGGAGAAAAATTAAAACTGAGAAACACAACTAAGAATCACAAAGTAAGGAACAGTAATAAACAATAAAAAACTGAGCCAAAAAAAAAAAAAAAAAGATTAATACATGGGGCTGGAGAAATGGCTCAGTGGTTAAGAGCACTGACTGCTCTTCCAGAGGACCCGGGTTCAATTCCCAGCACCCACATGGCAGCTTACAACTGTCTGTAACTCCAAGATCTGACACCCTCACACAGACATACAAGCAGGCAAAACACCAATGCACATAAAATGTGCAATATTGCAAATGCAATAAAAAATAAAAAAAATAAAGATTAATGCTGTGTAACTATAGCATTGGCTCTGTGCTAAGTAGTTTCATTATTTCAGAACACCCCTGGGAAGTATGTAGGCACTGTTGCACAAAATTTGAGAAGAGACAGGCCCAGTCGTTTTACTCTGTCTGAGCCGGGCAGTGGTGGCGTGTGCCTTTAATCCCAGCAGAAGCAGGTGGATATCTGAATTTGAGGCCAGTCTAGTCTACAGAGAGTTTCAGGACAGTCAAGGCAACCCTGCCTCAAGAAGAAAAAAAAAGAACTTTGTTTTATTTTACTCTGTGTCTGAATATAGGGCTAGAGTATGCTGGAGTAAGGACATAGTTTTTTTAACTTTTTATCACAGTTATTATCTTGTAGCCATGAGAGTGCAGAGCTCAAAGGATAAGTAAGCACAGGAAGTAGGTTCTCTTGCTCCATCATGTGGGCCCTGGGGATTGAACTCAGATCATCAGGTTCAGCTAGTACCTTTCCTGCTGAGTCATCCTGCCAGCCCAAGGACATAGATCTCGAAACACTTTATCAGTATTAGGACTATGGTTCTATATTTGGAAAATAAACCTTTCTATGGTATGAATGAAAACCAAGCTAAGCAGGGATCTTCGATGGGTAAGGGTGTGCCTATGGGGAAGAATCTAGAGATTGCAGCTTCTCAGAAGGGCTGGGGCTGACAGACTGAAATAATTCCAGTTTAGTGGGAGGAGTGAGGGCAGCCAGAGCTAAGAATAGCCCAGAGCTGCTGTAGGCAGTCCAGTCAATCTCAGGCTCTCAGCGGGGAGGGCTAGAGGCCCCAGGAAAGGCTGCCTCAATGTCCCTTGGCCAGAGTGGAAAGGGGAGAGCTGTTAGTGTGCACACGACAGTGGTCCCAAGGTCCCACTGGCCTCTGTTCCCCCGCCAGAGTGAAAGCCTGCCTAGCCCTGCAGGGTGCCTTCTTGCTCACAGCCCTGTCCTGTCCTCCTGGATGGAGCTGGCCTATCTACAGATGACTCTGGCTTAGTCTCAGCAGCTTGTTATTTCAACCCAGTTTTATGTCCCATTTTGTGGCAGGAACTCCTCAAAACAAGCTGTTTTGGACATCATCCTCAGTTTGACTCGGGGCCAAGCTGGTAAATTCCACCAGCTTTTTCTGAACTGTGTTTGACTCTCCCTATGAGGTATAAGTCAGGTATGGTGATCAATGCCTGTAATGTCAACACTGGGCAGATAAAGACAAGAGAGGGGCAAGTTTTAAGCCAGTCTGAACTGCCCTGTCTCAAAAAACATGGTTCATGACCACTGTCTTTATTGACCTTTGCCCCGTTCAGTTCCCCAAACCTGTCTGCAGAGGTGTGGTCCAGAGGCTGGGAAACAAGCTGTTGGCAGTTTAATGTCACTTTATGACTGGTCATTGTTATTTCAGCCCAGCTGATATAGCCCAGCCTGTCAGGCTTTGAGGCTGGTGTGAGACTATTCCTGACTCATAGTGGATGCTGGCTGCCTTTTAGAGCTCATGGCAGTCAGTTTTTAAAATACATTCGCTAGGTGTAGGCTGTCACATTTCCACATTCCCTGCAAAAACTTGGGCAGCAAAGGTTCACTTTGGGGGCTCCTTCTCCATTTGGGTAGCAGGCTGCTTACATGCTTGGCAGATTTTTTTTTCCCCACAAACCAATGCTGCTGCATGTTTACCTGTCCAACTCTGCAAAAATAAAGATGCTTTCAGCCTGGTGGCTATAAAGAATTGGTAAGGAACTCTCCAGACCTCCTCACAACCCGGGGAATATGTCATGCCTCAAGTTCTCCCCTCCAGCCAGTAGACACTCGGCCAGCCCATCTGTTCCTGCTGGTGCTGGCCTGTGTGGCATCAGGCCTGGCCATCTCTCCTCAGGACCCAAGCCATCTGTTGTACAGAAGAGTCTAGCCTGGTTCTGTGCTTCCCCTCCCAGCACTGGCCCGATACCTGGCACTGTGTTGTCCAGTATGAAAGCAAGGCACCCGCCAACAAACATCTCCGTGGTCAGCAGCACAGTTAGGATCTGATCCACTTCAGGAATGCCTGCGGAATAAGTCGGGAGCTGATGAGCTAGTGGCCTTTTCTAGAAGGCTGTGCTCAAGGGACTTCCCGCCTGTGTAGTCCACTGACTTAGAGGCGATGGTGGCCGTGGAATATTCCAGAGCCCTGACCTTCAAGCCTGTCTGTACCTCTGTCTCCCAGCTTTGGGGACAGTCTTCTGTCAGCTGCTAGTTACTGACTTAGGACAACACTTAGCCCCTGTGAACTCATGCCCCTCTGAAAAACAGAAGTAGTAATAGAATTTTGTGGAACCATTGGGAAAATTAAATGAGCACATGTAAAACTTGATAAATAGCTAGGCTCGTGCTTGCGATCCAGCCTCATTACAGGTGCTAGGGAAGTGCTGGACCATTTAGGTGTTTTCCAACCCATGTGTAAGAACTTTGAGAGACCACCCCACTTTCCCCCATCTCTCAAGACAGTAGAGAACAGAAGGTACCTGTGTTGATAGCACCTGGGTTGGAATCCAGGTAATTGGGCAGCGTGAGGCCAAAGAACATAGAGAACCCCAATACAAAGAGGTTCCGGGAAGAGTTCATGTCCACAAACTGCAGATTGGACAGTCCCACGGCGGTGATCATACCTGCCACAGCAGAACCAACCGCTGGACTAGAGATGCAGCCTGCCTAGATGGGCCTGCCACTCACACAGGGCAGATAGCAAACACTCACCAAAGAGGGTGCAGAACATTCCTCCCAGGATGGGGTCTGGGAGTGAGGCGAAGAGGGCTGTGAACTTGCCAATGGCACCCAGGATTAGCATGATGCCTGCACCATACTGCACAACTCGGCGGCTGCCCACCTGCAGGAAGCCAGGGGCTGGCTAGAGCCAGAGGCAGGGCCAGTTCCAGGGGGCGGGGTGTTAGGCCTATAAACGGACTCCAGCACTAGGGGAGCAGGATGAAGGTGGGATGCTCTCACAGGGTGGGGCTAGGCCAAAGCCAAGACTGCTTAGAAAAGGAACGTGCTGCTTTGGCTGCTGGCATGGCACCTTAGTGATCCCTAGGACCCCAATGTTGGGGCTGGATGAGGTGGAACCGTTGCCTGTGCCCAGTAGCCCGGCGATAATGCAGCAGACGCCTTCAGTGAAAATACCCCTGTGAAGAAATGGTGAGTGGGGTGTTGGTCCAGCCTCATCACCAGTCTGTCCTGTCACCTGGGCCCGCTGCCGGCCCCTCTGGGACTGTGCAGACTGGCATCATCTGTAGCATTCCTGGGAAGCCGGGAGTCAGTACCAGCACTGTGCCCCAGTACTTACTCCCTTGGACAGTGCTGAGCCTCAGTTCCTCATCTGTCCCGGGAAGATAATGAGGGTCCCTACCTCATAGCATGGTTAGCCACTGCATAAGAATGCACCTAAACTGGGTACACAGTTGTGGGTAACTAACTGGTTTCCCTGGGACTCTCAGCAGTTCTAGAGTGAGTAACTCCCCATTCCATACTCAAGAAAATGAGGTCGAGAGGTAAGAGTGACTTTCTTGGCCAAGCCTCTAACCGTGGGACCCAGTCCTGTCCTACACTTGCTTTCGTAGTGGCCGCTCAGGTTCCGACATCGAGGTGGGCATACCTGTTGATAGCATGTACTGGAGGGGGCGGTGCCCCAGCCAGCCGGGCACAAGCATAGTAATCACCAATGGACTCGATGATGCCTGCCAGGGTGGCGCTGAACATTCCCAGAACTGCGGCCACCGTCACTGTGGGTAGTCCCCACTGGCCTGGGTTGGAGACAACAGAATAGGTTCTTGAGGAGGCGATGGTGAGTTGGGAATCATAGGGTTATTTGAAAGGGAGAGGGGCTGGTAGGGAGGTCTCACTGAAACACAGCTCTGGAGTAAGGTTTGGGGGGTAAACCACCATGTGGCACCCACAAACAGGGCTAATGCTAGCTGCGACGTCTGCTGAACTGGGGTCACGAGGTACCTCACAGGAGGTTCAGTTGGAAGCAGGAGGGACCTGAGTGGGCTTGCTTACACGGGTAGGGGATGCGGATCCAGGGTGAGATCGCCATGATGTCCCCTCGGGCATCCGTTCGTGCCTGGAAGCCATAGGCTGTGGGATCGGCGGGTAGCGCGTCCGTCAGGGTCAGCACGTAGCAGAGCAGCCACACGGTCATGATGGCCAGGACGATCTGGAGCAGGTGGGGCGAAGGGGTGCTGCAGGCACTGGAGAGAGACCTGGGGCAGACTCACCAGCTCCTGTGTGTGGCAGCACCAGCCCCAGAACCCTGGCTGACACTCCGCCTCTGCCTGGAGCCCCTGTCCTTGCCCCAGCCTCGTCCTGGCTCAGGTCTTCCCCTTTCCTAGTCCCAGCGCCTGCCAGCTCCTCACCGGAAACATCTTAAAGATCTGGATGCGGAAGAGGGTGAGGCCCTTGCCCCATCGGTAGATGGGCAGCAGGAAGGTGAGGTTGCGTAGGTACTGGGAGAACAGGACGATCAGTAGAATGGAGCTGGGAGCAGAGACAGGAAGGGAAAGCTGGAGGCCAGGCTGGCACCTGGAAACAGGGCAGGAGTGAAGGGGTTGGGGGCAGAGCCTAGGATTGGGCAGAAATAGTCCCGTTGCCTGCTCACCAAGCTGAAATGCCCCAATGGGAGCCAGCTCGGTCACCAGCAGCTTGGAAAACAGAGAGACCAATGAGGGAGACGGTGGGGGTGACCGTGAGAGGCCCAATGTAGCTGAGCAGGGCCCCGGGCAGCCCCATCAGCCCAATCACCACCTCCACCATGCTGGACACCATGATCGCACCCTGGACCTAAAAAAGGCAAAATCGGCTGTAAGTCAACCTTGACCTGGTCACTAGTAGAATGTTCAAATTTCTCAACCACCTCCTTGAATACAACTCAGTGGTATATACAAACCACCTACCTACCCCACCCCACCCCCACTCCCCCGAGCCCAAATCTCTACCCACCTCTCGAATCCGAGGATGCCAGATATGAGAGGTATTCAGGGGCATACTCCAGTTACCATAGATCTCCTCTGGGAACAGAATCGGAGAAAACAGTGCCATGAATACACCCTGATGTCTAGACTCTGGGCAGCTGCCCAGACCTCCAAGACCTCCCCTCCGGCGCAGACATCAAAACTAAGCTCACCTTCTGGGGGACACTTCCACCTCTCCAAGGCCAGGATAGCTTTGGCTGGAACCAGAAATGCAAAGGCACTGGCCTGGAACAGAGGCAGCCTAGAAGGTGGTACAGAGTAACTGCGGTGGGTGGTGGAGCAGGTTAGGAAAAGGGCTAGAAAACCGGGTTTGGAGGAAGGGTGGGGCGGGGGGAGGCACTGAGGCCTCGGGGGGGGGGGGGACTCCCCTCAGTTCACACCCTGCGCTTTGTCTTCAGGCCTCCATCTCAGCATCCAGGAGAGCCGGGAGCTCAAAAGTGGACCCCTCCATTTCTGCACTGGAGGAATGCTAGCTCCTGTTCTCGTCCACTACCACTGAGCCAACCGACTAGAATTGTTCATCCGGGACTAGGAGTCCCCCGTGTACACAGAGGTGCTGGAAGCCTGCTCACAGGGATGCGCGGTGGGGCGGGGAAGCAGTGCCCCTAGACTTTTGGGGTAGAGATCGAGTGAAGGAGACGCCCTAAATCCTGGACTCCCTAGGAGCCCAGCTCCCTAGTGCTAAGGGCTGGCCAGGTAGATGGTGCAGCAGACAGAGAAGAAAGAAACCAGACGAGAGAACACCTGCTCTGCCGCGTGCAAGCAGGCAAGTGCGTGCGTGCGTGCGTGCATGCGTGCGTGCGTGCGTGCGTGCTGACGAGCCGGGGAGGGGCAGCTCACCGGATGCCCACTGTCGTCTGGATGAGAGTGGTAACACCCACGCAGGTGAAGATGGTGCCGATGAGCTGGCTGACCATGTGCTGGTCGCGGCCCACACACAGCGCCTCGGCCAGGAGGAAGGGCACGGCGATGGTGCCGCTGAAGCATGTCAGGTAGTGCTGAGGTGAGAGGAGATGGAGAGGTGGCCCCACAACAGGCCCGTGGAGACGTGCGCCCCAGGTCCACGCCCCGGACCTCGGCCACACTGACAGGGTGCTTGCTCAAATGACATTACCCCCTAGAGGTTACCATCCAGGGGCCCCAGTCTCCCTCGGGTTATCCCTGTGGCTTCTGTGGATGGGCCCTGCCTGTCCTGTGCCATCCACAATCTCCCCAGGTCACTTAACCTTCTTGGGCACTGCTGCTAGGTCATCGTGCTGGCCTTGTTTCTGTCTCTAACCTGAAATGACCTTTTGTCCAGGGAGGGTTTGAGATATCTGGGGAGGACACCGTGTAGAGCTGGGGAGGACACCGTGTAGGGCGGGGGAGGCCTTGGGGAAACCAACCTACCTGGAAGCCCAGCAGGATGCACAGGTACCATGGTGGCACATCCTCAATCTTGTACAACATGTCAAACTTGGGCTCCATGGTCAAGGGTGTCTGCTGGTCCCTGGTGGAAGTCTCTGCTGAACCTGAACCCAGGGACTCATGCTGGGGTAGAGAGAGCCGCAGCTCAGGGCCGAGTGATGGACGGGCAAAGCTTGAACTAAGGGAGCCACAGTGGCCACCCTGCAATTCAGTGAGGATGGGCTGGATCGGCCGCCCTCCCCAGCTGGTGGTCGCCAGGCCTTCCCACATCCCACATCTCAGTTTAGGGATGGAAGCACCGTCCTGGCTTCTAGAGGAATCTTTAGGCTTTCTAGTGAGGCCCCTAAGTCAGAAGAGTGGAAAGCACCAGACCAAAAGGCGTTGGATAAGCCCCATCTGTCCCGCCTCTACCTCTTGGAGGTCCTTGAAGGCGCCACGGGGAGAGGAGGCCGGGCCCTTACTGACCCCCTAAGCCCAAGTCAGCAAGCCCCCAGACTAAAGGCTCCCTCACCTCTCCCCCGACCCCACTCCCCCAGTGCCACTTGCAGCTCAGGACCGTCTCTTCTTGCATTAGAAATTTTGTCTCTGCCTTCCCGGAAAGAGGCCGGCCAGCAGAGGGCCGCCCCCCACCTGCCATGTCCCTGCCCAGCTCCCCACTTGCCCCAGCACCTGTGTTGGGCTCCTGGGGTCCTCCTGAGCTCTCATCTCTGAGACACAGGTTTGAGGAACTTCTGAGGAGAAAAGAGGAAGGCTTTACCAAGGCCAAGGAGGACTTTACTCCACGCAGCAGACATTGCTCGAGGTCAATCTGTAACTAGGTCCGCAGCTCCAGATTGCGAAAGGAGACGCAGGCAGGGTAAGGTATTAACTCTGGCTCCGGTGGTAAAGGCCACCTAAGCGCAGGGCACGTTTACCTTCTGAGTGTTCTCTGTCCTACCCGCATCCAAGCCTGGCACAAAGCCTGTCCTTGTGTCCCTAGGGAGGGCCAGAGTCTACAGGGTAAAGAGGGCACAGTCGGAGGATGAGACAGGAAAGGCCGGACATAACTCCTCACCCTCCTCTCTAAGTTCTACGGTGATTAATAGAAGCTAATCTTATCATCATCACTGTTCTCCTTTCCGGAATACAATCAGATGCCAATATCTGTATTTGTACATGCACTGTCACATGTCCCGTCCGGGGCTGTGTGGTGTTAACTCTTTCACTGCTGAAGGAAAAAGACTTAGTAGTGATATGACCAAGGCCAGTGAGTGAGGTTTCAGAAAACCGGTGCTAAGTTCAGGTTAGTTTTGGTCTCCTGCCCTGCCAGCCTTCACCGGATAGGGTTCCTGAGGCACCCACAGAGAGGCCCGTGTGGCCCAAGCCCAGTGTCAGGGTGAGGGTTCCCCGTACACCTGTTAGCCTGGATGAGCCGCTCAGTTTGTGGGACCCTGTGAAAATGAGAAGGGGGTTCTTGTTGCAAATGTGTTAAGAATTTTGTGGGGTCTGGTGGCTAAAGACTGTAATCCCTGTACTCAGAAGGCTGAGGGAGGCAGATGACCGTGGGTTCAAGGCCAGCCTGGTCTGTATAGTGAGTTCTATCTGGGCCAGCCTGGACTATACACTAAAAAAGAATACCTAACATAGCAAAACCCTGACTGAAAAGTAACTTTCTGTTACTTTCAGGGCTAGCTAGATGGCCCATTAGGTAAAGGTACCTGCCACCGAGCCCAGTGACCCCAGCTTGACCTCTAGGACCTACATGGTGGAGGGAGAGAGCTGACTTCTGTAGTTTGTTTGTGACCTCCACCTGTACCCCTTTGGCACAGACACCCAAACTCAGACAACACACACACACACACACACACACACACACACACACACACACACGTAATAAATAAAAGTTGGGGGCTGGCAAGATGGCTCAGTAGGCACAGACACTTGCTGCCAAGCCTGGTGACCCGAGTTCAGTCCTCTCCCCAGGACCCACAGGCTAGAAGAGACCTGACTCCTGCAAGTTGTCTTCCCCACACACACATACACCATTGCACATGCCCAAGCTCACACACACTAAATATAATTTATTGGTTTTTTTTAAAATAACAGAAAAGCTGGGTATGATGACATATACCTGTAATCCCAGCATGAGGGAGTCAGGCAAGAAGACAGGGAATTCAAGACCAGCCTCAAACATCCTTGGCTACCTAAGACCCTATCTTAGCTCATGGTAGCTCATGCCTTTAAAACTCAGCACTTAGGAGGAAGAGGCAGAGGCAAGCAAATTTCTGCGATTTCAAGGCTAGCCCGGTCTACAGAGTGAGTTCTAAGACAAGGCTACATAGTAAGACCCTGTCTCAGATAATAACACAGAAAAACAAAAAGTAAACAAACAGTCAAAAAAAATCCCAACTCTCTCGCTGGGTAGCGGCGGCACACCCCTTTAATCTCAGTACTCAGGAGGTAGGGGCAGGTGAATCTCTATGATTCGGGGCCAGCCTGGTCTACAGAGTGAGTTCCAGGTCAGCCAGGGCTACTCTGAGAAACTCTGTCTCAAAAAACCAAACCAAACCAAAATAAACAACAACAAAACACCCAGCCATCTGAAAGGGGCTCAAATGAAAAGAGCAGAACATTAAATTGAACACGAGACCTTTCTAAGCACATCACTCTGTGTTCCCTCTGTCTACATCCCTCTTCCTGTCTGGCGTAGGCTAGAGCCTGAGTGTCAGCAGAGGCAGTCACGAGGACCCAGGGGCCTATTCAGCTGCCAGGAGCTGGCCTGGGATTGGCACCCGCTCCCCTCTGGCTACCCTAGTCCCAGCCACCCCAGAGGCTACCTACTTCTGGGTTGCTGTGCCCAGGCTGGGATACAGGGGCACAGGCCAGGCCGAGGGCCCACGGGCAGCACAGCTCTCCAGCTGGGCAGTAGCTTCATGGCAGTTCAGAATGCGATCCCCCGTCCAGGGCCGGCCGTTTCCTCTGTTGGTCCACTCTCTCTCCTGGTTCCTGCTCTGAGGTTCTCGAAGTGGTCTGACCTGTTGGGCCTCTGAGACTCCTCCTCCCAGTGCTCTGCAGGTGGCAGAAAGGGAGCCCCTACCCCCACCCCCACCCCACTCCCCACACCCAACATACACACTTCAGTCATTGCTCAATTCAGCCCAAACCTCACCAGGACATGTGCACTACAAGGCTTGAAAATGTGTCCCCGTGCATGGGCCATGGCATTAGCTCTCCACCAGTGATAAGCCTTTAAAACACTGTTAGGTAGTCCAACCTTAGAGGTCAAGGATGGACCCCTCTCTGGGGTAGCTTTGGACCCTGCCTCCTGTTTCTCTGGCAACACTAGGAAGATAAAAATCAGCCTTGTCACTCACTGCTCCTTAAGCCTACTGCTTAAGAATAGAATACCTCTGGCCTGGGGTGCAGACATGGCATTCTGATCTGCTCCAAGGATTAGAACATTACCTATTGTTTCTGGCATGGTGGCACATTCCTCTAATCCCAGCACACGGAAGGCAGTGGTGATAGATCTCTGTGAGATCAAGGTTTACATAGTGAGTTTCAGGGTAGTCAGGGCTACATAGCGAGACCTTGTGTGGTGGCTCTTCTTAGTGGTCAACTTGACGACACCTGGAATTAACTCAACCTCAAGTGGCTAGGTACACCTGTGAGGAATTTTTTTTCTTTCCTTTTTTTTTTTTTTTAAAATGTGCATTGGTGTTTGGCCTGCATGTATGTCTGTGTGAGGGTGTTAGATCCCTTGGAAATGGAGTTACAGAGAGTTGTGAGCTGCCATGTGGGTGCTGGGAATTGAACCTGGGTCCTTTGGAAGAGCAGTCAGTGCTCTTAACTATCTCTCCAGCCCAAGGCTTTTATATATATATTTTTATTTTACAATACCATTCAATTCTACATATCAGCCATGGGTTCCCCTATTGTCCCCCCTCCCACCCCCTCCCCTTACCCCCAGCCCACCCCCCATTCCCACCTCCTCCAGGACAAGTCCTCCCCAGAGGACTGCGATCAACCTGGTAGACTCAGTCCAGGCAGGTCCAGTCCCTTCCTCCCAAACTGAGCCAAGTGTCCCTGCATAAGCTCCAGGTTTCAAACAGCCAACTCATGCAATGAGCACAGGACTTGGTCCCACTGCCAAGGCTTTTTCTTAATTACATCATTTGAAGTAGGAAGACCCACTTTTATTCTGGATCTCCTGAAGTGAGAAGGTCAACCTTTAATCCAGATTTTTTTTTTTTGAAGGGGAAAGATCCACCTTCAATCTGGACCATACCGTCTTTTGGCAGCCTATATAAAGGACATGGGAGAACGAAGCTTGCTCTCTCTGCCTGCTTGCTTTTGCTCTCACAGGCAAGTTCATCCCTTCACTGGCATTAGCGCCTTCTTTGGGATTCTGGCAGTTGCTGAAGAGCAGCTGAGACCTCCATGGACTGAACAACTACTGGATTCTTGGACCTTCCTTTGGTACACAGTCATTGTTGGACCACCTGGGCCACAACCTGCAAGCCATTCTAATATGCCCTCTCTAGACAGACAGACAGATATTCATTGTGTAAGTTCTGTTCCTCTAGAGATCCTGACTGATACACTCTGTGTGATGGTTTGAATGAGAACGTCCCCCACCTCCCTACCCCCGCCCCATAGGCCCATGTTTGGATGCTTAGTGACCAGGGAATGGAACTGTTTGGAAAGGATTAGGAAGTGCGGCTTGTTGGAGGCGGTGTGTCTTTGGGGGTGGGCTTTGGGTTTTCCCAGACCATTCCCAGTCTCTGTGTCTGTCTGTCTGTCTCTCCCTCTCTCTCTTTGGTCATTTGTATATGAATGGCTTCCCCTAGGCTCAGATATTTGAATGTTCAGTCACCAGGCTAGGAAGATATGGCTTTTTTTTTTTTTTTTTTTTTG